GCATACTCCTCCTCAATAGCAGTTTTCTATTTTGACCTATCTGAGCAACGCATCGCTTCTTCGATGGTTTGAGGTTCAAGATCCTCTTCCTTGCAAGAAAGGGCTTCTATAATCATATATGAAAATGATTCATCTACCATAATAGATGGTCTGTCCCAAATATCATCTGTATTACAACACAGAATAGATAATTCTTTACTCAACTTGTTCTTATTCCTTCCAATTCCAAGATTTTTTTTCATAGGAATTGAAGGTACATTATGCATGGATATATCATCATGAATTAGTAGTCCTGCAAGATGTATGGCAATTTCTTGAGAATTAAAACCAAGATTAGTCAATTTTATAGCTTTCTTCTTACATGGTTGCTTATCTGGTCGACGAGTTCTTTTAGTTGTTGTTATAACTTGAGGTATTATAGTCAATGGCACTACAATCTGAGCAGGTGCATTCTGAGCCTAATGAATAGGAACTCTTATAATTCTAAGTGCATCATTGAAGCCATCAAGTGTTTCATCTGCGATCCGTTTTAGATGTAAAATCTTAGCAACTTCAGTTTCTGCCGAAGATGTCCTAGGATCGGGATTCATTGTAAACGTTTCTCGTGCTTCAAATATGAGTACTTTATTTCTTTGTTGATTGGATACTCTTCCTTGAAGAGATAGGAATACATTTTCTTCAAAACAGTAATTTTACAAACATGCACACAATAATGTGCCAGTTGATGGATCAACAATAGGAATAATGCTTGGTGAATCAAAATCAACATATATGCCTTCTTGTCGATGAGCTCCAATGGTACGCCGTTGAGATTTCGGTATTGGAATCCAAGCACGGCAACCAAATACTCATAAGTGAGATACATTTGGAACATGACCCAAAATGAGCTCATGTGGTGAAACAATTTCAAGAGAAGAAGGGTGGAGGTGTATTAATGTTGCAGCATGTAAAACTGTAAGATTCCACATAGATGCACGTAGATTTGCATGAAGGAGGAGTGGCCGAGTAATGAGTTGTATACGCTTTATAAATGACTCTGCAAGTCCATTTTGAGCATGTCCATATGGAACACAATATGTCAACTCGATTCCTGTTATAGTACAATAGCCTTCAAAAGACTTTGATGCAAATTCTTTTGTATTATTTATACACAATTTTTTTATAGGATAATCAGGAAAATGTCCCAAGAAGCGAATAAGCATAGATATAAGATTGGCAAACACCATGTTTCAAATTGATAATAATGAAACATGTGATTTTTTATCTGATGCATCAATAAGGACCAAAAAATAACGAAATAGTCATGATATTGGATTAATAGGACCACAAATATCACCATGCAATCTTTCAAGCATTGGTGGTAATTCTTTTGGAAGTTTCCAAATTAAAGGCCGAGTAATCATTGTACCTTGCACGTATGTATGACATAATTCCATAGAGTTTACATCTGCACGCTTTAAATTGTGCCCAGTTATACATGGAATGATCTTTCTAAATAATGTGGATCCTGGATGTCCCAATCGTCCATGCTAGAGAGAAACACGACTCTCTGAGATAGATGATGCAAAATTAAATATAATGGGAGGCCGAATCACAATTCGATATAAACCATTTTCTGTAGCAAAAGCTTTTTCAACAACTTTATGGTTCTTTGCAAGAACCAAAACCTCTTTTCTACTTAAAGTGGCAGTCAAGAGGTGATAACCATTAATACGCACATCTCGGTAGCTGATCAGACTCCAAGGTACTGACGGTGCAAACATCGTTTGTTTACATTTTATGATGGAATCCGCATGTAATTTTACCATCGCTGTGCCCTCTTGGAAATAAAACGCATTTGCTCCAGCCATGGTCATCATATTTTTAGTTTTCTAAGTTGAATATTTTTTAATAAAAAATCATCTATCTCACAAGATAGTATGTATTGTTGTAGAATCAATGAATGCATCATTTGATTCATCATTAGAGGTTCTATCATTCATATAAGCCTCTAAGTCATCAACACCAATTGAATCCATGGACGCATCCATGGTATGAACTTCACGAGCCTCAGCTCGTAATTTCTTATTTTCTTCGAATATTTTAATAAAATATTCTGAAGTATGGCACGCATGTACTAAATGTCCAATCATTCCACACTTATGGCAAGAACGCATCTCTGATTTTTATTTTCTACTATAATTAATAGTAGAACGTTTATTCTTTCCATGTGGGTAGAAATGGTCTTAACTATGACTATCCTAATACTTATGAGCATGTTTTCCATATTTATATAATTTCTTCTTAGACTTTAAAATATTAAGTGCATGAGATTCTGAAATTGTAGTTCTTATAGGACGAGCTTCCGCATTGCATAAGAGAAGTTTATTTTGTTTCTCCACAAGAAGTAGATAGGACATGAGATCAGAATGACTCTAAAATTTCATGTTCTTGTATTGTTGTACAAGTACAGCAGATATAGGAAGAAATGTAGAGAGAGTTTTTTTAATCATTTCTTCTTCAGAAATGCTTTGACTATATAATCGTGATTGTGAGATAATACTATACATTTCACTATTGAAAGTATTTAAATTTAGAAAATCGAAGACACGTAAATGTGTCCAATTATAACATGCACGTGGAAAAAAAATGGTCTTTTGATGATCAAACCTAGATTTAAGATTCTTCCAAAGTTCTACAGGATCTTCCATTTTCAAATATTGATGTTGTAACACAGGTACAAGATGATGACGAAAGAGAAGAAGTGCTTTCCAACGAATAGCAGGAGGTATAGAAATACTTATTGTAGCAGATTCTTCAAACATAATGGCATCTTAGAGTTGTTCTACAAATAAATTTATTTTTGCCATTTTTACCCATAATAGATAATTGTTTCCATCCATAGTGAATGGTGGAAATAAAAGATCTTGAAAATGTTGGGATGCATTGATAATAGTTGGAACCATAGTAGAAGCAGTTGAAGATGTTGAAGCACTCATTATAAATAAATCTGTAAAGAAAATAAAAGATCAAGTAAAAAAGTTGATTAAAACGTACCTTAAAATATAAAGTCAAATAAAATGATAAATTTGAACTAAAAAAAATAAAAATATATAATTTTTTTTTAAGGAGGTTGTAGAGTAAGGCAGTAGAACAGCAATAAGATGGCGGCAGCAGGCAGTGATAGGGCGACAGCAGTAGGGTGGCATGGCGCCACGGTGGCAGCGGCAAGCAACGACGGGCGGTAGCGTTAGCAGTAACAGAGTGGCAATGACGGCAGTGGCAGGTTTGGCGGCAGCTCGGCGGCTATTTGGTGGCAGTTTGGTAGCAGGCGCGGGGCGGTGTAGAGAGCAGGGAGCAAGCTAGGGTGGAGTTGAGCTGAATCAAGTATTTTAAGCAAGCAAGGCATAGAGTAGAACAAGTGCTCTAAGCAAGCAGCTAATGTGTGAGGGGCCAGCAAGAAGAACAAGATCATGAGGCATACATTGAGCAAGGATAGCAATAGGTTTGAAGAATCAAAGACTAGAGCAAAAAAATTGTGATAGTGTGTAGAAGAGAGTCATGCTGATAATGTATTGAGAATGTTTAGAAAGACACAAGAGTAATAGTAAGTCATACACACACACAAGAGTAGTAGTAAGTCATACACACTAGAGGGTTATTAAGGAGAGAGAGCTTCACACACAAAAATCTATTGATCTGGTTGTGTCTCGTATACAAGAAGAGAAAAAGGGGAGAGGATAAACAATACTTCTCCACTAGACTCTAAATATTGTAGCTATAGTATTTACTATATTTTACACTAAATATTGTGGAGAGCGCCGGCTATATTTAATGATCTCAACAAGAACAATGTATTCCTACAGTCTCATAGCTTTCTTCTATGAGGTGCATGTGTGCTCCCTTGCTACAGTCTTGAATGAAAACTTTGGTGCCGAATTTTTGTCAGTCAACTGTTATGAAGTATTTCGGTATACTTTGGCATCTTCTCCTTCACACTCTTCTACAATCCCTGTGACCTTCGTTGGTAAAATAATAGAATGGCTGATAGCAACCCATGGTCCTGAACTTGTCAGTATACAAGGCTGTTACAAGTTCTCATCCTAAAATTTTCTATGATTCTATGATCTACTCCTGGCCTATGGCACACATGGATGGCAAGCGGATCAACATCGAGGATGAGTGGTTGGATCTTCAAATAGACTGGCACCTCAAATTCTGTCATGCGCTTAGGAAATTAGAAAATGCTGGTACCCTACCTTCAAGCGCTTGGCTTTGTCAGTGAACCTAAGATAGTAGGAGAGAACATAGAAGTCAAAACCGACAGTCAACTGGCTCTGACGGACACAGTCTTAACTGAGGATCTCTTCTGTCAAGGGGTTCCAGCGAAACATCAGAAGAAAGATCCACCTCACTAAATTGGTGTGTAGTGTTTAAATTACATCCATACTGCTCGGCATTGTGGTAAAGTGCTGCCTCCAGAAGACGGTGGGAATAACAGATTAAGACGAGTTACATTCTTACAGTAGTTAAGAATCACTATTAGAAAGTTTCACATATTAATGCATAAATTGACTTTGGATTAACGTGTGCGGCGAGTTGACAAATTTAAGTTTGAAAAGTGCTCTATCATTCACTGTTGATGCAAGTTGACAATTTCACATTCGAGACTTCTTCGGAGTATATTTTGAAAGGAGACTCCAAGGTTTGTTATACTTGCAAATAACGTAATGTTAACTATTCTTAGACTTGACTTCGACGCAAAGTAATATTCTCAAATGTAGGCTTGTTGGAGAGATGACAGCAATGTAACGACTTCTGAATGCATCTTGCATTCAACAACTTCCCTTCTCTGATATTCTGTCATCATAAAGATAAGTTTCAGTCTTAATAGAGATACATCGTGAGATTGCATTACTTAACTAATCGGACAAGAAAAAGCATCTCAACAGAAAAAGAAACTCCATAGAGGACAAAAAAATCAATTGAAAATGCTAAGAAACTGAGTAAGGACTCAAGACTGTGAAAATTTATAGAGCGATGCTCGTTGCTTATTTCTCCGTCACTTACATTTCTGAATCCACGTTCTCTAGTATACAAAGAACAAACATTTGAATTGTTCCTAATCATCGGACTACGAATTTCTCGAGGGCCGGGTAGGGCGAACCAAAAGAGAGAGCTCACTTTGATAGAGACCCGAGTATTGAAGACTCGTTACGGCTACTTCTCTCAACGTGACAGATTTTCGATAGTTGAATCTTTGCTCTAAAACTGAAAGACAGCCTCCTCGACAATAGTCACAACGGCACAAACAAATGAGCTGCACAGTTCGTTTTCAATCCTACCCGAAAGAGTAACACCTCAACGCTCCTTCACACCTGATCATTAAACTGTCGGCATAGGACCATCACAACCCTCGGAGCAAATCCATCCGCTAACCCACTGCGACACCACCCAGCTGCGCTGCGCCTAGAACGATCACCACAACATGCATAGCAAGCCAAATTTACCGTTCTACCATATCACTGGCAGCAAGGATCGCCCAACCAGGAGACTCATAAACATGCATACAACCAGAACCATCCCCTCCGACGTCCTCATCCGGTCCCACGACGCCACCGCCCCACTCTGGCTACCCAGCCCTTCCGTGACCGGTGATCCAGTATACTTCGGATCCGCTTCATAGAGAGCCTGGACACCCGCCACATCATCCGCATGCAGACTCTGCTTGGCCACCAGCGGGGATATACTAGGATACATGATCGCGTCCTGGAAATTAGAATGCTCCAGGCCCAGAATGTGGCCAATCTCGTGGATCGCAACAGACAACAGATCAAACGACCCGCTAGATGTGGCGGTCTTTACGTCGATTGTCCAATACTCCTCCATGTCGAAGTGGAGCCTCCCGTCCGTGGGCGCGAACGCGTGAGCCAGCACTCCCAATGGTCCATCGAAAGCATTCCCATCTCCGTGATCGAGCGCGTCGAAGCTTATCCTTATGTCGGCCGTTTCAATATTCATGATGCGAGTAAAATTGAGCGTGATGGCGGCCTGCCATGTCGCGAACGCCTTATCGATGGTGTTCTGCGTGTCGACGACGCTCACGCCGGAGCTAATGGTTGATAGGTTGATGGCGTATGTGAGATTCTTCTTTGTCCACCGCCGGCCACCCGGAAAGGACGACCAGTGCTGGACTCCGAGGTGTTGAGTTCCGGGAACACTATCAAATCCATTCTGCAACTGTCATTGCAAATGTATTCCAACCGATTAGGGATACGCCAAATTCATTCAATTCAGGACATGCATTAAAAGGCCAATCGCAGCTTATAGGGGCCATTCTTGTGCAACATCATTATCAACTGTTGAGAGCTAACTGTTTCTGGGATGCCGATGTGATGGGTTACTTTCACCATCAGCAAATATCCAGAAAACTGGCACATTAGTAGTTGTGATAATGAGGCTGTTTACATGTGGGATGTGGATCATAAAAACACTCTACCTTGGAGGAAGATATATGGTTACTATTTCACAAACCTTGAACTACTATGCCAATTTTAATACCTCCTGCTCACACTTAGCATGTATGGCGTTTAAAAAACATGTTGGTAGTATAGTGGGTATAACAGAAGCTGTTTCTGTGTTAGACAAGTGAGATTAGAACGGCTGCGTTAACGGTCATGCAGTTCAGGGATAGACCATATTGCAGGGGATTGTAAGGGATGGCGAGTGAATGGGATAGAACATGACTAGGGATTGGAGCTTACCATGAGGAGTGTGCCATTGATGACATCCTCGCGGCCGCAGCGGGGGATAATCATTTGCGTGAGCGTGGCGAGGTCCAGGTTCCCCGTGACTGGTAGGCCGAAGCTGCGCTGGTAGTTTTGAATAGCCTTCTGCGTGATGCTGTCAAACTCCTCAGAAAATGATGATCCTGCGGGAGGCGCGTCGGCGCTAGAGATGTAGCCAAACTGGAGCAAATACATCTTGAGATTCGCCATGCCGGCCCGCACCTCGCCCAGCTTCGCGTCCAAGAGCAGTTTAAATCCATCCCAAGGGCCCGCATTGTCGCTCAAGGATGCTTTCAACCCCTGTCCGATTGGAAAGTGGTGGCCACCAAACTTAACAACGCGATGATTATGAGCTTGGGATCCATGTGATGCGCAGGAGTTAACGAGCAAGAGCAGAAGCGGGAGGAGAAGAAGCGTAGATCGAAACATCGCCATGGTGGCTATGGCCAAACTAATCAGGAGATAGGACTTCTTGCTCTCTACATACTGGGAGTTGGGTGCTGAGCAAGATGGAGAAAATGAGGAACCTGACAGAGAGGCGATAGAAGGGGCATTAACAGCTTACCATGTTGACGAGAGTGCTACGGGCAAAAATGCCAAAAAAAGTTGCGAATGATGGTCCAAGTGGGGTGGAGCTGACCGGGTTACTTTCTTTCCGCGTCTGACATATTTGGGATGCTTGCACGTGTCTAATATATTTGGGATATTTGAGAAACACGTGATGAACAGTCCAGTACGACGGTGTTGCTCAGCAAATGCTCGAGGATTTATCATCAACTGATAACTGGACAAAACTAGCATGAGCAAATATAGCGTGTATCCTCTCATTCATCCACTCCACCCCAACCTCCAACGAGGAGAGGGCACATCCTTTCAACATGCCGGAATCGGATGCTATGAGAGGATCTAAAGGCTCACCAGCAATCTGGCGAAAGCAGGGGGACGGAAAACTACAGCTTCTAACTCGTCTCCGATCAGTCCGATAAATCTTTGCCGTAGAGTGAGTCGGGTAGATGGGAAAGGGGCGTCGATCTTCCTGCTGGATCCGAGATCGCATGATCAACTTGTCACCATTCGTCACTTCAGCATCTTTAGTCTCAATAGCCTTTCAAATATGGTTCGTCGATTTCTGCTATTTGGTTTGCTTGCTGTAACCGACAGCGATGCCTGCAATCTAACATACTTGCAACTGACACATCAATGCTTGCCTCGGAATCTGGACGCCAGCTTTGAGCAGCAATCCTTGACGCGGATCCTAATCATCTTTTCATGAAAGCGCTTCGACCACAATCTCCACAGTGTACAGCGGAGCACAGGTTGACTTTGACCGGTGGGTTTGGATTCAAGGGTGATTGAGGTCTGACTTCTGGGCCTGCTGGTGTTGTACCCCGCGATGCCGTAGTTCATCCTCTCCGGAAACGGTCTGTGGTCGAATTTCACCACGGGGTATACCCTGTACTGGGGAGACCGGAGATGCTGGGAAGGTGGGATGTACGGAGAGTGGAGCTGTTGAGGCATGGAACGGGATCGGTGAAGGACGCGAGGCTTTGGGGGTTGGAGTTGGGGTTGGGGTTGGCGCTTCGATTGCTCGAGTTCGGAAATTGGCATGAGATTTGAGTGTAGCCCGCGCATTGAGGAAGCGCGGCTCATCGTTGTCCAGGATTCCGTGTAAGCGGATCTGAGGACCGATCTGGACGCGGGGGTGCTTCGGCAGCTTCGGAGCTTGCGGGGCTGTATCAAGGGGCTCCTCTCGACGACCTTGCTAAGTCCTGGCTCCGACACATCGCTGAGCGCACTCCTCCGCGGACCCATCTGAAGAGATTGATCGATGCCTTGCCGAGACGGCCAACGTTGAGCACCGACCGAGGACTGCCTATGATTTAATGGTTTCCAGGAAGCAGTGTGGGGTTCCACGATGCAAGAAAATTATGCAGCAGAGCTCCTCATAGAACAATTGAACTTTCAGACATTTTAGATTCACCCAACGACTCTAACCTCACCGTACAAGGACGTATGATTTTCGCGAAAGACAACTTCATGCTGACTAAGGCCTTCCTGACAACAAGATTGCGGTAAAGTCGATACAAATTTGAAAGAAGCATTAACTAAACGATGAAGACGAAGCGGGGCAAACAAGTTTATGAGGAGGCAAAGTCTTGGTGATGGTGACGACAAATGACCGCATCGATCAATATTTTGTCCGAAACATGTGGCGTCTATACTTGCTGACTGCAACGCGCGAAAGTTTCAATATTCGGACCAAAACAGTGGCCACTTTCACTAAGGCGCTGGATTCTTGAATTGAATTTTGACTTAAGGCAAAGTGATGCATAAATTGAGGAAGAAAATTAGTAATTTACGTATTGTTGAACAAGTTGAATGAACCGAATAACCACACATGAATCGAAATCTTGAAAAGGGTGATAGTTTTTTAAAAAAAAACGGACAACTACAGTACGATAACCCATGTAGAAGAGTATGGTCAGCCATGGAAGATGTTAGAAAACAATCGCTAGATAAGAAGAGCATCAGGGCGGAACGTTACGAGAAAAATCGTAACAGATGATGCCAAGGCGATTGGACCTTTGGATTATGATCCTGTTCACAGTCAACTAGGTTGTCGACTGGAAATGTGAGACCTTTTGCGGAAAGAGGTCAAAACGAAGAGAAAGGTTTTTTAAATCACTGAAGATCTCTTAAAATGGCTACATCCATGGTTGTGGTGGAGATCGCGTTCATGCTTGTCAAATCGGAGTCTTCCTTCACAAGAACCAGATTCAACAAAGTCGAGCAAGATTTTCATGCTCCCCATTGAAACCCACAGCTTGCGTGCTCCCTCACATCCTGAACAGAATAGGTCTAAGAGAGCGAGGATTGTTGGGAAAAGTCCGCTTAAGCTCCGTTCGTCAACTTCGATAGAGTTGCAATTGCAAATAGGTCGCTGGGGCAGTTGAAGTCAGTGGATTCCTGCGGAAGATAGGGGATTTGTAGGAAACAACATATCCACTTACGGCAGTGATCCGAAAAGCTCTATCACTCGTGAAAAACATTTGAATTCCCACTAATCACCATGTGTGTTACCAATAGAAAAAGGCGCTATTTTCTGAGTGCTTATGTTTTATGGCATTCCTTCTGTCATCAATGTCATATTTGCGCAGCTACCGAAAGCACAGTGAAACAGAATAAACAAGAACCACAGTAATCGTATCAAAAGACTACCAGAAGCCCAAGCGCTGTCACAGCACGCCGTAAGGCAGATGCCCTTCATGACAACACAAGAGCATGACAGAGGATTCATGTCAGACCTTGTGGTTACAGTTAATGTAACCAAGGCCTAAGAAAAATGATCCGCGACAATGACTACTATCTTTGTAATTAAGAAAACATTGCTAATCACCTCATGCGCATTTCTCTGGTGGTGACACTTGACTGGGAACGCTGCCTTGTGTGAATACTGCTCGCCAACTGCAACACTGGTGCTCTGATTAGCTCGATCCCAACTAAGCTTTTCCTCCGTGAGAAGGGTCGCAGGGTATACGTGGCATATTTGATACCACTTATATTTAGAGGACTCCAGATTGCATGTACAACCCGAAGTTTCTCTTGTGGATCGCAAATTGAATGCAACAATGACTCTCGCTGTCAACATCAAGCGCCCGGTATTGTTTGCTACGGGATCGGAGTCTGCTTGGTGGTGATAAGCAAATTGTTGATGATAATATGCAATGCAGCTCTGTAGACTGCTTGGCTGTAATGAATGCCATCACGGGTACATCGAGTACCACACTCATGGCTCAGCGTTTGAATGTCTAGTAGTGTTGTCAAGCCTCCCGTACCAGCAATCTCACTCCTAAGGACCTCCATTGTGTATAACTGCGATTGTTGAGTTGTCATACGTTCACGCTTCAAGTCGCTTTGATATAAGGATGGTGCCAAAGTTGGTAAATTCATCCAAAATAGCTGCACTGTCAGAGCCTCCTCAGAGGTAGCACTAATGGGATCATTCAGCAGGAAGCCAAGCTCTTGCTTTAGCTTCACAAGAGATTTGCCATACTGGGTGTAATTTCCTGAATGCAACATGTGCCAAAGGCCTACACCCGAAACTATAATATCCGGGCGTTTCTGATCCTGACGGTAACCCTTCGCCATTCGTGTCAAGTTGGTAGTATAAGGGGCCCAAGCGAACTCCATGAGAATGTGATGGCTTTCCAAATTGTACTCGAAGTTGCTATGTCTTTTAAAAAGATAAGGCCTCAAATCCTCAATAGATGGCAGGATTAACTCCATCAGGGCCACGAATAGGAGGCGAGCTTGAGAATCACCAGCGATCACAATCCATGTTCCCTGTAGCAACTCAAGCGCGTCTTCTCTGTCGAGTTTCTGATATTTACATTGATGCAAAGCTTCATGTTGCCAACGCCACTCAAAGTGATCCCAATCCGTCTGATTGGATATTTGCTCGTCTAGCTGAGGTTTATCAATTTCAGAGAATTCCACCTGAGAAGATAAGGCAGATGAATTCAACATAGAACAAATGAGAGCTAGTCATAAGTATGTGATAGCAAAGAAGAGGTTAAACACAACATACAAAACGGACCCAGAAAAGCAAAAAGTCTAGAAGTTTTTAAACAATTGTTGTCTATAGTCGCACAGTTAAAAAACACTCAAAAGTTCCGGCTAAAATACTGGCAAGCACCTCAGATTTACATAGAAAAATCTATGAACATGCTCCAAAACAAGACAGGACAAAAGAGTGAAGGAAGAACTGACACACCTTGTGAATATTGGAGATACAGTAGTCTCTGAGCGTAACATTCAAAAAGGCTGTGGGTGTCACTTGGGCAGATGCCTGCTCTTCTGGGAGTGTAGAGGAGTTAAAATAGGGCGTGTGAAAGAAGGGGAAGACGTGAACCGATACTGCAAGCAGAATGAAGAGTGATCCACTGAAGAACAAAACGCGGTTGCGAGTCAAGTGATAACCCGCCATTGCCATGGGCCCGAACACTACACAGGAAGCTAGAAAGACTGCTTGCAGAGTCACTCCCATGGCAAACGGATGCCCGAGTTTCAGACCATGGCGTGCATTATTTGAACAAGTAGAAGATTATTCTACTTTCTGGTCCACCTTGTATCACCATGAAAAGAAACCTCTCTATGAAGAAATAAGACAGGCAATGGCAGGTCATATACATTCTAGGTACATCATTTGTCGAATGAAGTCCTCTGATTAGCTGATTGACCACCAATACACAACAGGCCATGAGCATCTGCAACAGGCACGAGCACCATCTCGGATCAGTGATGGCATTAGATTTCGAAAATCGAGTCGATTCGAAACAAATTGCGACCAGGGGAAGCCCTTACAATGTTTGGTCCCCCCAGGTCTCAAATGATTCCGGCGTAACTCGTCTACTGGAAACCACGGGCTGAATTTACTGCGCCCTAGCTGCCATACCACCGCATTCAATCCTTTCGCACCGCATAAGGAGCATTGATCTTTCCTCACAGAGACAAGGCCTTCAACTGAGAGCCAACCCTAAAACTTCACATCCGTCCGCGATGAATTCACGATCGCCCTTGGAGTCCAATCTATCCCAATAAAGCGCAAGCGCAAAACGCATTCCAGAACGCGGATTGATAGGTTACCAGAGCTCCAGTGATGAGATAATAGAGACGCATGTGGGTACCTAGACCGAAAACTCCCTCTCACAGGATCTCAAACCTCTGATTGCCAATCTCTGGTCCGCAATCGGATAGCCCAACTCCCTGGGCTCACACCCACGCAAATAGTACGCAATCAGTAACTACTCTGCGCTTCTCACTAACCAGAGCCCGAACTCGATTTCGCCTAGTAAAAAACAAAAACCCAATTCCCTACTACAAGAGATGAGGTCTTGGTCAAAGAGCTTCACCGAAACCTCTTACTCGAGAAAGGCTAAACAGCAGGGTGAAGACAAGTGGGGAAAAGCAACATCTACCCGTGTGTGCACACAAGGACCAAAAACCATTCTCACCAGTAATTCATTTAGTTCCTACACAAAAACGGCGACCGAAGCCAAATGGCAAGGAGCCAACGGGATTGAAACCACATCTGCTTGATCGTGCCACATCGTGAAGGGATTTTGCAACAATCCATCGTTTCCAATTGTCATCGTCATCGTCATTTTTCTAACTATCTAACCATCTATGTGCTGAAATTGAGTGTTACAGAAACAACAGATTCGCCGTCTTCGTGCTTATACTGCATCTACGCATCGAGCACATCCCCTGATTGAAACATGGTGGGATCTGCTGATGCTGCAGTTATGAACAAGGCCACTGACATTGTTCACTTTTTCTTCACCATCCGAGTTTTTTGCAGAAATGGGTAGACTAAAGAAACTCATTGATCAATCCTTTTATTCTTTCTTTCTCCTTTCTTTCTTTATTTACTTGCTGTTCGTTAGTGTTTTTCTCTTTGACCTTCAGTATCACAGACTAGAAATAAAATGGCTCCATTCTGTTTGGTGTGGTTTATATGTTTTCGTTCCAAACTTATGTTTATTTAACTTCAAGGTGGTTTTTTCATAACTTTGTGAAGTAACTAGCAAACTATGTTTTTTGGCATTGAACACTTTTCATCCAACTCAAGTTAACTTTTTTGTTCATTTGCAGAAGGCAATAAGATCTACTTTTGTGGTTTTCTTTTTCTATTCAAGAAACAGAAGGGATGTTTTATGTTATTTTTCAATAGATGAAGACGGAGTTTCCATGGTTGAAATCTGAGCTCCCAATGTCTTGAATGCCGCTTCTTGTCATCCTTCGGTAAATTAAAATTGTTTCGCATTCAAATAATATTAACTAGGGCACTGAACGATATAAAACTAGTTAATTACTAGCTAACTTATGTATTATTGTCAACGTTGGATTTGATGGCAAAGTACCATAAGAAAATTAGCGTGGTGTTTGCGTCAACTCCATAAATAAAGTAGATTTTATTTATTTAAAAAAATGTAAGTAATTTATAATCCTTCATCATATTCAGTGAAAAAGACAAAGGTATTGGCTTTGATCTTATATCCAATGTGTTCTATACAAAGAAAAAATAAACAAATTCTTGATATTGCAGATGACTTCTATTTCACATTTCTGTATACTAAATACCACATAAGTTTTATGGAAACTTACCAAAAGCTGAAATTTTTCAAAATCAAAGTCACAAAACGAATTCATATTTAATCAAGTGAACTTTTAATGAAGCTTTTAGATCCAAAAACCTCCAATAAGATTCTTTCAGTTTCTAAATACAACATGGTACCTCCACATGAACTTCTAAACTCTATTATCACTGCAACAATTCATGAAGGTTTCCATATTCCAAAAAAAGACACACAAAAAATGGCACACATAGATGAAAATCTACTCAAAAACTGATATCAGTATAAATGCACTACAGCAATAGATTTAAATGACATCATTAGAGGTACAATTTACAACCAACATGTAAACGATGTTGTCAAACGAGCAGAAAATAATCCTCAATGAAAGTAACAAAACCCTAAAATGAGAAAATGGTCTTCCAACGAAGCTCTTCTGTCGAAGCTTTCTGCCCACAGTCGAGCTGATGAATCGATGTCGTTAAACTCAGATTTTTCTCATGCTTGAAAAAGAATTTCGAAGGAGTCATCTGGTGTGCAATTCCACTTCGATCGAGCCATCGATCACTCTACTTGGGAGTGTTTTGCCATCCGAGGAGTTACGCTTGGTTGATGAGGAGCAGGAGATGAAGAGTGTGTGGCAGTGCATTTGAGCTATGTCTTTCACCAGCCGAGGTCGCTTGCATGTCGCCGCCATCCTGCGGCGTACCCACAAATGCTCCTTGCTTTCTTCCTCACCCACCTCCCCTTCGTTACATGCTCAAAGATCACGCAGTTTTTCGCAACTTAGAGCTGTATCGGGACCTCCTTTTGAGTTTGCGCAGTTGTGGGGTGGATGCTTGTACCCTAGTCATGGAGGGGTTTTAGGAAACCCGACGTGGGTGCGTCGATTCTCGTGGTGGAGGTGGGGAGGTGTGAATTCAGTGCCCGATTCAGTGTCCAATTCAACAGCCCAGTTGGACAATGGAGAGGGTGAAGCGGTGGTTGAAGCTAGCGCCCGATTGCCCAGCAGCACGTTTCGGCAGGAGGACGAGGTTGTGGCTGGTGAGAGTGTTCATGAGTCATTTCCGAGCGCTGGCGATGACAGGGAGCAGCTTGGATTGGGAAGAGGTAACTTGCAGTTGGATGATGGGGTGGCAAGTGTTGACACTAATGGTGCAATTGCTGAGGATGCCGGAGGTAGCATGTTTTGGAGCACCCTGCAAATCCCGACGGATGCCATTATTGTGACTCTAGACCGTTTTCAGAATTTCTCAGGTGTCCCTTGGTACGTTTCTCCTTTTCCTTCTTCCTTCCTTAATTACTTGGGTTATTAGGAGAAGCTGAGCTCGATCATGTCTCAATTGTAGTGTAGTACACTTTCAGCCAATCTGAGGTCATTTTCCCAGAGGATCGTTGCATTATCTCTCAAATAACGTGACGAATTGCGTGTTATTGTAATGATCTGGTGTTGTTACACTTTCAGGTGGCTTACAATTATAGGATCTACATTAGCGTTGCGTGCTGCTCTTTTTCCGCTCACAGTGACTCAGCTGCGAAAAGCATCGCTTCTCGCACGTCTCTCCAGCCAATGTAAGAGTGCAAACTCTCTGAATGCATGGTTTATAAGCATGAAGACATTTTGTGTGGGAAGTTGGTATGACATCTGCTTGTGGTGGAGATTTGTTCGCAACTTGTCACTAACTATTATATAGAAACGTTGCAGTGCCACCTCCTGTCCCTCCTCGTGGCTCTGGAGTTTCTTTAGCTTCTCAATACCGTATATTTACCAAGCGGCGGCTTGAACTAGGAGCACCTAGCCCAATGTGGCTTATAGCTGTTCCCCTCATCCAGGTTTTACATTTTGCTATAGAAAAGCCACTCTTTCATAATATCTGCAGATCTTTTGTAACTTTCTTAATTTTATCTTCAGATTAGTATCCATCCTTTAGTAATTTAGTTTTTTGACGGGCTCTGTTTCAGAGATTATAACTCCTTAAATTAGAGGTTACTGTTTAATTAGTTTTCGGCCAAATGGACCTTGCAGGTTCCTCTGTTCATTTATTGGATAGTTGCCGTTCGTCAAATGGCAATGGCTTCACACCCGGGTTTTGATACTGTAAATTCCCCTCTCCCATCATTACTTGATGTGTCATTCAACAAATAACAAAGTCTACCCATCCGTGCTTCGTGCTCTGACAGTGATAAACGGAATCGGGTTCCTAATAGAAAATCTCTACAATAAATTCATTTTGCATTGTAATTTAATTGATATGTACTCATTTTGGGACGTTGTCTTATTCTACTAACGATACAATTCCATTGCAGGGGGGGATTTTGTGGTTCACTGACCTAACAGTGCCAGTACAAGGTGCTTTGGGGGCTCTCTTCCCAGTCATTGTAGCCGCTACTTATTTCACAAATTTGCAGGTGCTATTTTACATCATTCTTGGACGTTCTTGCAATGTGAATGATCATGTTTGTGAAGTTTCTGCGACAGGTTCCTCTGAACCACTAAACTCTAGCTCTAGGCGAACAAACTCTCTTTAGATTCACGTCTTACGATCGTATTTGGCTTTCATGTATCCACACACACACACACACACACACACACACACGTACACACACAACCGTCATTCATAAAATTTTAATTGATGAATTTTTGAAATAAAAATCTTAACTCAATGTTTATTAATTTGATGAGCAAATATTGAATTCTTTCCAAGTTGTGATGACTCAAGAAGATTACCTTTTGTAGAGCCAATCCAGAAATTATAGCCAGTTCCATTATTAATAGACCATGGATCGCAAATTGAATGAGTTGAATACCTAGTAATAATGAATTATAGATGTCCACCTGAAATGAGAGCTTGCGATTTTCTCCTAATCATAGTTTTTGTAAATGAATCTTGTATTCCAGTCGAAGCTATCGTTTCCTAATTAAATTCTGTGGTGTGGGAACTTTTGGCCTGTGCCTGTGGGCTTGATCGCAGTAGTTGTCTTTCAAAGGTATCGAACAACAGAAAGGAATAATGGGGATCGTCATGAAGGTATACATAAAATTTTGTGGCTGTGCGGATAATCTTCAATTTTTCAATGACATGTCTGTAATTTAGGATTTTTTAAATTGATGTTCTTATTTTTTGATATGGCACACACAATAATTTGATAAACCCGTAGGGTATATTATCAATCTTCTTGTTTGATTTTCTTGTGAGCAGTTTTACAAATGGTGGTTGGAGGCGGCTACTATCCCAGCATTTATTTTTGGATTTTACCTTCCTCAGGTACTTCGTTGAGCTACTAGCACCTCATTGTGGTTGTCAGAAGCACCTTTCATGTTTGAGGAATTTCACAATGATTTTCGTGTCTTAGGTAAATAAACAGATGTATTTGGTGATTTAATTTTAAGACGTTAGGAAAGTTGAGACACGGCGCATTGAGTGTTCGTTGGTTAACCTTTAAGCTTGTCTGTCTTGTGTTCAGGGTGTTTTCATGTATTGGATTACAAACAATTGCTGCAGCCTTGCTCAGGTGCTGTACATATTTTTTTTCTTTCGTGAATATTTCTAACATCACGTTTTCGTTCTGTTAGTATAGTCTCTACATCTCTAACAGGTTTTTGACTGGGACGCAGAAGCAGTAACAGTTTTCGTCGCAGTCCTATAGAATCCAACCATTACAACTCTCATTTTTTTTCTGTCGATGTTATGCGTACTTTCAATTTCTGTATGCAACAAATAATTTCGCCAGCAGAAAGGTTGAAATTTAGGATAATTTGCTCGTCGAAGCTGCTTCAGATATGTCACGCCTGTTCCTTTAATGTGTAGATTTCATGTTCTTATCATGCAAGAGTTTGAGCCTGCTATCTTCGTTTACTTACTGTAGACGGCTTTGTGGCATTCAGCTAAACTAGCAATGCAGGTTCTAATTACATTCGTTGTGAATTCATTATCTTTGTATGCAGACAATTGCACTTCGACAGCCTGGTGTGCGCACTGCACTGGGCTTGCCATCACTTGCGGAGCTGTCTAAACTGAGAGGTTCCTCACCAACACCTCCTCCTGCTCAAACAGGTTTATTAAAAATGGAAGCTGTTGAAAACATGAACTCAGATGATCTTCTTGTGGTAGGTCTTTATATTACTTCACGATTCACAAAGTCATCAATTATTTTCTACCGAGTATGAAATGGGCATGCAATACACTACTCTTGTTCTGGTTCTGTAGACTCGCACCCATCAGTACAATCCTGATCTGTTTCTTTGTTCATCTGTGGCAGCTGGCTGCAAATTGCATTGCTATGCAAAAGGAAAATGAGGCTCTCGAAGTTCTGCAGTGAGAACTCTAACTTAGAATTCCAATCCTGCATTGTGTTCTCGTCACCTATGGTGAAAATGAAAGCGTCTGTTTTTGTTTGCTATGTTCACATCAAGAAATGTTATGTATAATGGGAACTGTCCGAGAAGGCGATTTTTCCCACTTTTTACCTGCCTTTGCAGTTACACTGTGGAGAAGTTTCCTGATAAAGTAGAAGCTTTATTTGCATTGGGAAAAATCTACTCTGAGAAGCAGCTATGGTCGAAGGCTTCGTTGTATCATGGCCTTGTCTTACGGAAGGTGCATTTTCTGAGCATTCCTTGTCATTAGCTAGGGCCGCATATTATTAGGAGTCGAGGTTAGCTAACTTAAATCCAACTTGAGACTTTAGGCTAAGAAGATTTTACATTGACATGGCCCCAAGGTCGAGAGTTGGCTTGAAAATACTTAGGGTATGCTTCTTCTTTTTGCTTCGAGCCATATTATACCTGGTTTCACTGCATAAAAATTTATAAATGGTGCACCAAAACATAACTTTTAGAGTTTGATTTTAACTCTTAGCGTGAAGTCCTTGGGCAAGCCACGATTTCTCTGTGAAAGTGGTCCTGATATTAACAACTAAACATTCGCTGTTGGAAAGCATTTCATTCTTCTATCTTTGTCTCAATAGTTTGACCTTTGGAAGTACAGGTGTGCTTTCATGAGCATTAATATACTTGAGCATCAAGCTCTCATCTTGATTCCTGGCTTTGCAGACCAAGGAGAGAGAATTGGTCATTGCTGCATCCCTAGGAGCTGGAGTGGCACTATTTAATCTGGTATATCTAGTCCTTTGCTTTTGAGTCCACAAACTGAAAATTGTAACATACTGCATTGCAGTACTCGTGTGGATACGAAGCTCATCGCTTATACTTTTCATCTGTTTCAAAATACTGCAGGGAAAGAGGTCAGAAGCACTTGAAATTATGTCTGTATTTACAGAAATGGACGTACCTCAGGATCCTCTCTCGCAGCACCGATACTTTAAAGCATGCATCACTCTTGGCAGGCATGTGGACCCAAACCTTTTTCATGAGCTAATTGACATGCTTCCATTTTCATAACCTAATTCCCATCTCTTTCGTATTCGGAACCGCAAGAAGATTTCTTTCGTTTTCAAGATAGTCTCTCTAATGTCCGAATCTGATTTTCTTGTTCATTGATTACTGAAGTCATGTTCCAAACGTAGCGCTGATCTATTGTCAATCATAAAGAGTCTGATTGGATCCTTTCTTGATGGTGCAGTGTTCTTAGTCAAGAAGGACGTAAGAATGAGGCGTTGAAACTTCTGAAAAAAGCAGCAAAGTATGAACCCATGGTGGAGAAGGTTTTCATTCCACAACTAGAAAAGGAGTTGGGTATAAGGAGTTGAAAAAACTTATTAATTTTTTGTGATTTGAGGCAATAAATGTTAATCCCGCTTTAAGTCAGGTCGAAGCAGGAAAAAAAAAAAAAAAAAAAAAAAAAACTCAATTTCATCATTGTGTGTGTTGAGGGTGTCGTTGACTTTAACTCTAGATAGAAAAATATGAATTTGGATACGTTCATCAACTGCGTAACTTGAAAGCTATTGGTCCTAAGTGAGAAACTGGAACGTAGGTGTCAGTTTTAACAGCTTACCTGCAGCCTAACGCGAGGATTACATCGAAACTATCACCAACCCCAGTAAACAGGTTAACTTATATTATAATTATAAAGCCACTACGATTGCCAAAGAATTACTGCTGTAGAGGATGAGATTGTGTGAAGCCTCCAAATTGATATTTTGAAAAATGTGCGGTCCGAACTAGCCATGTGCATGTGTGATTGTGCCAAGGGGAAAACCAATGGAGGTGAGAAAATTGATGGCAAACTACGTGTTCTTTGGATTATCTTTCGGAAAGATTCCGTCGAATTTTCTCTGCATTGAGGGGTCGCTTGATCGCCCATTCATTTTTTGCAGTCCCATTATTCTGAAAGCTCTTGGAAAAGAAATCCGAAGAAGACACGAGGTGATGGAGTTGAACTCTCAATAAGTCTGGTGTGAGCAAGCCGCTATCAAGGAAGCCCACCAGCTCCCAATAAATGACTAACTTTGCAACATGAGAAAGATTGTTTGCTCTAGACAATGCATCATGGGATATATTTTCATAGAACAAATAAAATCCTATTTATAAATTTGATTAAACATGTCAAACTATGGCCTAAGTAGACATAAACATAGCAAGTAAGTCCTACCTTTAGTGCAAATAATACAAATCTTTATGTCTTGATCTACTTCAATTTTGAAAAGCTTCTGCCCTATGTCTTCAAAGTCTACAATAGATGTAATAGTAAGGTGGACAATATACAAGATCTTGAGACCACAATTTCTTAAGATCTGTTCATCTTGATTAACCAATCTTTTTTCTACACATCTCTTATCATATTAATTGTCATCACCCCTATTATTAGAGTCTTTCTATCTTTTGTCAATTGTTTGAAAGTGCAGATGACAACAAAAAGTTTGATTCAAAAACCATATTAGGCCTCAATGTATTCTCAAAGCATGATAGAGTAAAAAATTATTAGTCACAATTCCAATATATCCTAACAAAGCTTTTGGCCATAAGAGTCAATGTAAATAACTTCGACCTCATATAGATCGTAGTTAAGATTCTAGCCAACTCTTATATTAACTTTCTAAGTTATTATACAAGTGGTGGAAGATATTCTATCCTAGACAAACTCTAGTCTTGACTTATGCTAGAAGAAAGCCACACAAAAGAAATCTAGAAGAAGAACTCTCACATATAAAGCTCTCTATATTTGCTAGAATTGTAGAAGAGGCCAATAATATTATCATCTTGGGAATTTTAACTCTCACCAAGGCCACTCTAGTTTATAAAATTAGTTGAGCAAAATTCAATGGACATACTATTGAAGGCATTGTCATTTCAAATACTTGTGCTTAAAAAGGCTCATTAATATATAAAAACTTAAAGTAGAAAGAATGTCAAAACTTAGATTTTAATTTTGATTTGTAAATATTATACAAAAAAAAATCATAGCCAAATTCCAAAGTCAACAATATTGATGTCACATTCCTTTAAGATACTAACAATTATTAATTATTCAAAGCGTTGATTTTCTTACTAAATACCAATAATTACAAGTCATGTTGGTATCTTGACTCAAATGTAATACAATATGTTCCCAAAAGACATCATAACTTTGATAGTCTAAAATAATTCAATTAGAATGTGAAGACAACCAAGGGTCATAGTCATTAGATAGCCAATTACAAAACTATATACCTAAAATTTCTATCTGGAGAAATAAAAGAAGTTTTTGGTATTCTATACATTTTTAGTTTATAAAAAAAATCTTATGTGTATTTGGTCGTTTACCAATAGATATCTCATAACATGCTTCAATGACAAGAATTGTATATTATATAATAAATCTCATAATTGTGTAGTAGCTGAAGGTATTTGGAATAGAAGGAATGATTTTTATTAACTCACAACAAGTAGCATGGATATCATAGCAAATCTAGGTCAAACAAATCTTCATACAATCAAGTTATGGCACCATATACTAGATCATATTAGTTATCTTAGGCATCACAAATTATTAGTCCAAAAAATGGTTCATGGTATTCCCTACATCTTAATATACAAGAAGGTAGGTAGATATTGCCAAGTGAGAAAACAATCTTGAGAACCATTCTTTAGAATTAGTGTCATAAGAACCACTAAAACTTTAAAATTGCTTTACATTAATTTATATGGACTATTTTCAATTACATCTCTTAAAAGTTTAGATTATATGTTTGTTATAGTAGATGATTACAACAGATACACATGGATTAAGTTCTTTCAATATAAATCTCAAAAAACTCAAACCTTCTAGGCCTTCAAAAGAATGATAGAATTTCAACAAAAAAAAGAAAATTCTATCTATTAGGAGTGATAGGCGAGTTGAGTTTCTTTTGGAAGAATCTATGAATTTATGTGAACAATTTGGTATTATTAAAAAACTAATAAATATAGGCATGCCAAAACATAATGACATAGTTAAGATGAGCAACTAGAAGCTCCTTGATATGGCGCCTAACATAAAAATTCAAGCTAGTATACATAGTTTTCTTTGGACCAAAGTTGTTAATATTATAGCCTTCATCCTAAATCAATTACCTACCAAAGTTATTTCCAAGGTAATATCTTTTCAATGCCTCTACTTTAAATAATTCAACATCTTTTATTTATATATTTTTTGATCTATTGTATATGTGTAGGTAGAAAATGAAGAATAGAATAAGATGCAACTGCAAGCTAAAGTAGATCTCTTTATTGGATACAACACTCAAATATAAGATTTCTAAATCATGGTGCCTTTTGAATATAAGTTGATTATATAAATGAATGTTAAATTTGACAAATATTGCATACTAAATAGAATAAATTTTTCTTATTTCAATGCCATCCATGTACTAATCAACTTAGATTCATCAATATTATATGATCTTAGTCTAATAGATTAGCCAAAAAAATTCAAAATTTTTGAATCTAATCTTGTATTGCCATCATAGATTGTTTGGTCTTGCATAAACTCATCACTTCTACAAATAATGCTGCTTTGCCATCACCAATGTCATCAACTAGTATCATTGTATTAGCTATTATTAATCTAATACTCGTCAATATTACCTTGTCGCTTTGATTGCGATAGTTGCCTAACCAAACTTGACAACCTTTATCATGTTTTTGTAACAACATTATATATGCTATCAAACCAAAGCACAACATCCTAAAATTCTTTGTCAATCTTATTGAGCTTCCACATCTAATAGACATAGACTATTTTTTTGGAATTATTATTGAGCCAACTAATTCAATCACATCTATAGAAGCAAATATCTATCTTATATGATAAGCAATAATAGAACAAGAACATACAGCCATATTAAAAAACAATATTTGGAAGCTATGTAAACTACCTCCAAGAGCTTTGACAATTATTGTAAAGTGGGTCTATAAAACAAAAACTAAAAGTTAAATTCATTGCAAGAAGCTTCCAATATATAAAGGATGTAGATTATGACAAAGTGTTTGTTCTTGTAATCAAGTCAAAAGCCATCTACTCAAGAATAGCACTTATTTTCAACCATCAATGGTTGATTCTTCATATAGATATTAAGACTCTCTTCTTGCATGGCAAATTCAAAGAATCAATTTACATAGATGTTCTAAAAGGCTTTTGTGACTCTACAAAACACACAAAGGTATGTCGTCTAAAAAAATCTCTTTATAAGCTTAAAAAGCTTCTTAAGCATGGTTCAAAAAGATTAACAATAATTATGGTTTTTTTTGCATTGAAGTAAATAAGAGCTTATACTATTTATAAGACTTAAATGTGGTAACATTTTTGATTTTCTATGTAGATGATCTTCTACTTACAAATTTAAATTTTGAAAAAATCTAGTTAATCACAATAAAATTCATGAAATTCTTTGAAATATCAAATTTTAAAAAAAATAATAATATTTGGACTTATAATTTATTCAAAAATCTTATAGATTTTTCTCTCTTAATGAGTGTATATATCATACATAGTAAAGAAATTCAGTATGCAAGATTGTACACCTTCACCAATACTAATAGTCAAAAGTTTAAAGCTTGGCAAATAAGAGAATTCACCATTGGTCAATGCTAGAAAATTTTAAAAATTCATGAGCATATTAATATATTTGATAAACACCAAACCAAATATCATCTTTGTCACAAGAGTTTTTAGTAGATTCATGCACAATCTAAGAAGCAATCCATTTTCATTTGGCTTATCAAATTTACATATATATAGAAGGTGCAATAAATTTAGGAATATTTTAGGAGCATATTAAAAGTCCTTTAATATTAAGCTTCACATATTTAGACTAGGCCAATTACCAAGTTGACAAAAAATCTATTATAGAATAGATATTAAAATCAGTAGGAGGTCCATTCTCTTAGACATAAAATTAAATAAGAAACAATGGTCATATTGTCTATTGATGCAAAAGCACAAGTACAGACTGAAGGGATTAGAGAAGACATATGGCTTCAAATTTTATCATCTTAAATTCATGGTGTAGCTCTAGATCCTATTACGGTATTTTACAGTAATCAAAGTATACTAAAATCAGCACAAAATCCCATTTTCTATGGCAAATCTTAACACATGAAAATTATTATTTTATTATATCTAAAACAATGTACATACAAGAATGGTTAATCTCTTATATATATCCACAAAAAATTAGATTTCAAATAATTTAAATAAACCTTTGGACAAATAAAGATTTTTCAAGCTTTGGGATGAAATATGAATATATGATCAAAGTTTGCTAATATAAGACACCTCTTACAAAACACATTGTTTCTTTAAAACTTCAAAACTTCTTATATCTAAATCCCTTCTATCCACATACTTACATTTCATATTCCAACTAGGATAAGTATATACTAGGTCTTTGATTGAAAGCCATACTATAGAATTTTTTTAGTCCATTCACAAAATCACTTTCAAGCAAGCTCTCATCTTGTTCTTAATTTTTGTTATACTCATCTTTCTTGAATGACTACTACAGTTATCCAAAAACAAAATTAAAAAAATAATCTCAACAACAATGCAATATGGCAATGAAGAATCACAAGTTGAACAAGACATATTGGATCTAAATACCCAAAATAAAATTCACAAGTTAAGTTTATAGCCTTTAGTACAACATCATCAACAATAAAAAATAAATAAATAAATGAAAGTGCATACCTACCACCAACATCTCATTAGTATCTTAGCAAATTAAGAATCTTGGCTGACAACCAACTATCTCCTCAACATCCATCTTAAATAAAATGTCCCTTAATCATCATATCACCAAAAAAATAAAGTAGTATCTAACTTTTGACTTAATTAAGTTCAAATTATGAAAGATTCTAAGCACAAGGATGTATTAGAGCATTAAAATATTCTACTTAGAACCTTAAGATATCTAAGATATTAATAAATAAGTTTGTTAGTACTTCAAAGACTACTATATATCTAGTCTTCATACTAATATATGTAGTGATTTTACACAGTCCTATAACAATATTATTTTTTGTCATTGATATGTATGTATTCTATATTTTATGTATGCTTCTATTACCAATTGAATCATCAACCATCATTTCTATCATTATTGTCTTATATTTCTTTTCTTTTTTTTTGTAATATGGATGTCAACTTTAGAAATGTCAAAATTCATCTCTTGCTATAATATGTCATTGAAAGATAGCTCATGTAAAATTTGATCTTCTTAATCAAAAAAGTCTTACTTATCTAACTTAATTGAAAAGATTTAAATAAATTATACACAATTATCCATTTTCAAAGGTTTTGTAACATGTTCATACTCAAAGATCACATGATCCGTTTGCTAATCAACAATATGAGCATCAAATTTGGCAACGACTAATAACAATAGCTTATTATTGCTTTAGCAAGTTTGTTTTTGTAGTCAGATGGTCCTGTCTAATAAAACTTCACTCAACTCCAAAAACTTTATCCTAACAACTACAATCAATACTACAAATAATCCATAAGATTATAAAAATATATTGGTTTTTCTTGAATTTTAGTATTGGATGGTTTTCTAATTGAATTGTAAGTCGATATTGATATAAAGATATTGGAACAATTCAATTTAAAGCTTGTAACAAAAGTGAGGTGGATTTCACTAATGATTAATATATAGTGATTCAAAAAACTATTTCAATGTTGACATATTTTAAAAAGAATGATATATTACAAATGAATTATAGTGAATAATGACACATGGTTTGTATAATAAATAAAGTACTCTTTTATAGCTACCAAATGAGCCCAAGTTGAAAAGAATCCATCACATAATTATGGAGCTATGACCAATCCAATTTTGAACAATATTGAAATATTTTTTTGAATGTGGTATCCAATTACATATCAATACTTTGTAGGACTTCCTTTGGCCTTGATAAATACTTCGAACCTCCTAGGCATATTTTCTATTAACTTTTGGTACAAAATTGCTTCAATATTATTCTATTCTGCATCTATTCTTTTTCATAATTTCCAAATTTCATTTGGTTTTATCTTCCAGGTATTGAGCTAGCATTTGAGGTACTTCCAAAGATATTCTATGGAATTAAGATCAAGAGACTGAGTAAGCCAATCCATTACTTTAATTTCATGATCATCAAACTACTTCCATGTTAGTTTTGAGTTATGCTTGGGGTTGCTATCTTGCTGAAAAATCACCTTCTCTTTAAAAATGTTAGATTCTTCAATGTTAAGGAGTAGATTTTTTTTCAAGAATTTCTACAAATTACTTGGCATCCATCCTCCCTTCAACCTTTGCCATCCTTTCAACCTCATTCTATTCCATACAACTCCATACCATTATATTTCTAACCTCACACTTAATTATTTTTTGGATCTTCTTATCAAGCGACAATTGATCCTTTTATTTCCATACCTACTTTCTGCCATCAGATCCAAATCTATTGATTTTTATTTCATCTGACCAAATAATCCTCTTCCAATCTTCTATAGTCCATCCCTTGTATTTCAAAGCAGTATTCGAGCATTGTTTTTAATGGGGGGTAGATAGTAGTGGTTTTTTCTTCTTCATCACAACTTTCATATTCCATTTCTTGAGAACATTTCAAATGGTTTGGGTTGTCACAAGATTATTAATAATATTCTTAAGATTTTTAGCAACCTCAATACCATTTTTAGCCTTTCTAGTGTTGATTTGACAAATGATTGTCCTTTCATCTACTACACTAAGTTTTTTTGGTTTGTCTAATTTAAGATTCTCTCTATTAAATGTGATCTTTTTTGCTAGCCTAGAGATAATAGCTTTACTTCAGCTAAGTTTAAAAGCAATTTGGCTATAAGATTTTTGATAATGAAAAAGAACATAGGTAATATTGTCTTAGAGAGAGCGAGGAATGGGTCTCATAGTTGTTCAAGGAATTATCAAGGATATAAGAATCTGACAAAAAAATATATCAAGATTAAAGACAAAGAATGAGTTTGATAGCAAAAGTAGTTCCAAAGACTCCTATTTATATTATAACAAAGATTACAGAAGTCTATGGTACTTTTTATGGAAGTTTTTAGAAGTCTAAAGAAGCTTATTAAAGCCTATGGAACTTTCTAAAAGATTGGGAAAGATTCTACAAATATCTAAAAGATTCTAAAAATTTGAAGAAGATTCTAGAAGGTCCTAGAATGTAGTAATTTGGAATATGTCCATGCCAGGAATTGTGATTAAGAATGGTCCTTTTATAGATGCTAATAAGAATTAATGATATCATTAGATTAGTAATAATATTTTTATAGTAAATGTAATGATGATAGAATGTTGTAATATTGAATAATTAATAGAATCCAAAAATTAGACACCATATTCAAAAAATTGTTTCAATACTATTCCAAATTAGATTGGTCATAGCTTTGCAATTACCTAATGGATTCTTTTCAACTTGGGCTCATTTGGTAGTTGTAAAAGAATATATTATTTGCTATACAAACCACATGTCATTATTTACTACAATTCATCTATAATACACCATTCTTTCCAAAATATGTCAACATTGAAACAATTTTTTGAGTCACTATATCATGCATAGAGATATTGAGGGCCACTTTATGATATGGCCATTTGTTTAAAGAAATCATAGAAAATTTTACTTGAAATTGGGCAAAAGCTTAATGTAGAAGTCTATTAAAATATGATAAATAATATTTTTGATTTGTCCACTTAAATGATAATTGAGTTACTATTCATATTTGATCCAATATGTTGTGAAGTGAATAACTCTTTGGTGCCAAAATCATCATAAAGTGTTGCCATGTCACACATTTGACTAAAACATTTATTGGTCAATTTCTTCTAATATAAAGGTTGAGCAGTTAATTTTTGCTCTCCACCAATCATATTTCTTAAATCCTTTGTTTGTTTAACAATTGACCATAGTGTAACGTGGCCCTTTATGTTAGTTGATTGCATAAATGGAACAATTCAAAGCTCAATTAAATCCATCTCTTATACTAGCCAAGACTTTTTCTTGTATTATCTAATCTGATTTTAGGAATAACTTTGTCTACTATAATTACATGTAATTCTTCATTTATTAGATTAGACTTTGCTAGCATGTATTTGTAATTATGAACTACATCCTCTTACCTCTTAATTTGTACATGTAATAACTTTTATTTAATGAGCTTATTAAATTTTATTCAATGAAATTATATATATAAGCTCTATAAAATATACATACACAAATAGCTAAACATTAAAAAGTCCTTTGGGCTTCAAGGAAAACAAGAGCCATGCATTCTCATGCATATTACATTAAGTATATTTTATGGCACTAACATGCCACTAAGTCTACAATCTATACATGAGTGTGAATTAATTCTCTTCCATGATCAAAACATCACATAGTAGTGGTGCATACGTAAGAAGCCCCCTGGGCACTGAGTTTTTATACAAACATGAGATACATGAATTTTGAACAAAGAAAGAGACAACTAATTTGATATTCCTTTGAGTATAATTAAAGTTTGTCATGCTTGAAAACATTCTGCACTAGATTTCCTCAATTGCTACACTCTAATGAAAATATGAGTCTGATACCAAGAGAGTATCAAATTGGAACTCGAGGGTTAACATGCAATTAAAACCAAAGCAATATTTGTTCATTTCAGGGGGAAAAACTGACAAATAATGAGCATGATCCACTAATTGATGTAGAGATTCACAATGCATGGTGCACCTCCAAATTAATGACCAAAATCAAAATAAAAGAATAAAAGAATAAAATAAAGCCAGGTCTTCTTCTTGCCTGGACATCTGTTTGCGTGCAGAAATTTTTAAGCGAAAACTACAAGGGTTAGAATTCAAATCCTGAACCCAGACTAGTTGCAAAAGAGAGTACACAATTGTCAAATGTTCTAATCTGATACTGCTAGATAGGGTTGATGCCTCGATGATCATCATAGCAGGCAGTTATAAATAAATTTTAAATGTGAAGAAGGTATACTGGTGCAGGGGCCCTTGTGACTGGATTGAGTATCTAAATAATGGCTTGAGTATCTATTTGATTGAAAGAAATGAGGTTAAATTACAATGGAGGATAAAAGTGAGAGCTCACTGCAAAAAACAAAAACAAAAAGCCTCCAACAGTTGCAACAGTACGCTGTGATATTTTCAATGCCAAAAGTCGACCTCCAACCACAGCAACAGATGTACATACTGAGTGTCCCGCAATTGCACCGAGCGTCACTCCATAAGGATTTTTGTGTGCCCCAAGCTGTAAGCAACATAAAAAGTTGCTCAAGGACAGGAACTTCACAGTTCTTACTATTCACTTGAGAAGCATATAAGAGCATATAATGATTTTTTTGAACAAGAAGAATTACAGCATTAAATACATAATCGATTCTCCAGATCGCGGAAAGAACGTTTCAGAAGAGTGAAACAACGTACTGCAATAGTTGCAATTTGACTTCTATCTCCCCATTCTGCCAAAAAGGTCAAAATGAATGACTGCACAAATCCACAATAGCAGTAGAAGCATCTGTGAATAAAACGAATTGTTATGATACAATAGGTTTTGTGCAACATCATTCAGAAGCGGATATTTGCTAAGCCCATAGTTGATCTATTCACAGTAGCAATCATTTAGTGAAAACGCACCTCAAGAAATACTGGGGTACAGAATCGAGAAAAAACGCGACGAACTAGATTTTTCTTCTTTGGACCTTCCAGTTTCTCCTCAACCTGGACCGATGCTCCATAAAACGATCAAAACAACAATCAATGGACAAACTTATCGCTAAGCAGGGTGAATAAAGACCTCCAATTATGTCATATGATACCTGAAATGACCATACCTTCGATTATCTCACTCATTGCTAGTTACCAAGGTAGTTTTATCTCATTTTTAGGCACGAACAAAATGTAGATATAGTTTTAAAGAGAACTCAAGCAAAGACAAAACTTTTGGACCTCACTCACCTCTTCCATCTCCTTTTGAGGAGTGCTATCAGCAGTGTATGCAATATATAGAAGCCGGAGTCCAAAAAAAGTGTAGAGTCCTGTAATCGCCATTGAAGAAAAACAGTCACTAAGGGCACGGCATGCGAATTGCGGCAAAAACGAAGAAACCCACAAAACTTCGTAATTGTATTTCTGACATTTCTAACACGTCAAAATACGTAACTATAAGCAATTTGTAGACACAACTGAATAGTGTAGGAGCAAAGAACCTGTTGCGAAATTGTTGACAAGATTTTTGTTGATCAGGTTGGGCACAATTACGCCAAGTCCAGTTGACAAAATCTGTCTTACGACAACATTAAAAATTTGTGTAAGTTCACTGGCATCAAGTAACACATTGGGATTGACAAGGGTAAAACCCTGTACCCATTGTCAGATTCATTAGGTTTTACGGTGAAAATGCTTCACATGGCCCTTCAAAAATGAGCAATTGATTATGCCTTACGTGGAGTTCAACTTTTAACATATCCCAATGGAATCCAGAACCATGCCAAATTCTGACACAATGGTCCTTATGACCTTCTAAGCTACAAGGTGGTCAGAACTCACGGTCATGATGATAAGAGCTGACAATGCTCCAGAGAGCACAATGGCCCGTGGATGTCTCATCGCCATTAATGCAGCAATAATAAAGGTCTCGTCTCCAATCTGCAAAAAAGATGATAGGAATCACGTGTCGACCTTACCTGACAACCCATCATTTCCACATTACCCGAAAAGAAAATTACTTTAATCGCAAGTAACCAGAGATATTCCAATCTTGTAAAAAGAGTATTTGGGCACGTATGTTGACCTTTGCACCCATACTTACCTCACTAACTAGGATCATGGAGAGGCTTGTGAATGCGGCATCCGTGAACCCATTGCTTCCAACTGCGTTAGCGATCTCATGTCTTCCAGCTTCCTGTTTCACCCTCTTGGGAAATACATCATCTTGGTCCATTAATAACTGCACACACCAACACACAGGCCGATTGAGTACCCTTAAGCATTTCTCGAAAATCAACTTCATTCGCACATCGCGCCCATTTAGGTTTCTATTTCAGATATGGCATGCTACCATTTTATTATTTTCGACCAATCTACTCCAACGAAACAATTTAAGAGCTTTCTTCGAACGATCTCAGTATCAAACACAGATTTCAACAAGCATCAGACTACATAATTCCACAACCCTACAGAAAACTAGATTCGATAATTGTTAGGGCTCTTGAAAAACCATTAAGAGCTTGCCTGCGTCGAATAAGATGAAATTCACCACCCAGCTTATGCATTATTCTCGGCTGCATAAATAATTACACCTCCCAACCGAAGGCCGGGTGGACTGGGTTTTATAAGAAAGGAATTAGCAGAATTTTTAAATTTTCAGACTGAATGGAGACCTGGTGAGGAACTTGCCACAACCACCTAAGATCACTACTCAAAGGTTGAAATCTCGACGACTCGTTCCAAAGAGTAAAAACTACAAACCTGATTCAAATGCTCAAACCTGAACCAAAAAACACCAATAAACATGACGCTATACAAATGCTATAAATTACAATCCCTAGGGACAGGTAAGAGCTAGACATACTTTATTACGGCCCCAAGTAACGTCCAAATCCCTGAAGACAACACCACCTCCGTCTCCACCATTTTCCAACTGCAAACACCGCCAACAAATCCCAAGAAAACTACTTATCAGCCAAAATTTCCAGATCCCAAATGCGCAACAGCCTATGTCGCCCGTTCTAAGATTAAAAGAGGAAAAAAATAAATAATCAAAAAATAAATAAATCAACAGACAGGCCTTTTCATTCTGTACTAGACCAATATGAAAAAAAATCGTGACAACTTCAACACAAATCGGCATCCGCAACACCCCAAGGCGCACATAATTTTCACATTCTTAGAAAGTAACTGTATAATTCCTCAACAATACCACGATCCAAAACCCTGAAAGCCCCACAGCAAAAAACAGAAGAAAAAAAAAAACAAACAAAAAACAAAAAACAAAACAAAACAAAAGCAAAAGATATGAATACCTGATGTGCAAATAAGCAGGGAAGTAAGGCGAAGAAGACCATCCAGCGCATGGCGCGCGACGACGACGCCATGGACAGATCTATTAGTTTCCCCTGGTGATGGACAAAACCCAGCTCTCGTTCTAGCTCTCCTTACTCTTGCTTATTTCGAAAACTCGAATCGCAACAACCGGAGTTCACACGAACTGGCTCGGTTCCGCTCTGACCCATAAAGCGTACCCTCTCTGCCGACTTCCCCTCAAAGCTTGCGCAGATTAGAGAGAAGCCTGCTCTTCCTCTTCCTTCTCCTCCTGCTTCTACTTCTCCTCTTTCCACGTACCATCAGGTTTCCAAGTCTCAGGCATGACTGCCTCATGACCTGTTCCTACAGACCCTCGTTCGAAATGTGAAGCTCGGCTGGCAATTCTAGAGTCCTGCTCTACGCTCCAGGTCGACACTTTCACTCATTAACCTTGACTCGAGATAGACCTTTTAATTCATGGTACAACATTCTTCGCACGTAATTTCTGCGTAGCATTTCCTCCGGTGGCTCCATGTCATGGGGACCCTAATCCGTGTGCGCGGGCCTCAACGAATCTGATTGGAATTTCGTGTCAGAAAACGAGTACCTCCTAATGTCGGCAATTTGAGATTAGTCTCACACATGTTGAAAATACGCGATTTGACCGGAACATTTCCATCAACGAGTAAGCAAATCACACTAACATGGTCTTCCGTTACCAAGGAATGCTGCTATCTAAAAATCAGTTTACACTATCTGCCAACAATGCTTTTTTTCTTTTATATTTTTAATTTTAGTTTTAATTATTTTCTTCTGTTCTTTCGTCCACTGAGTAGATCCCACCAAATGAACAATATCGTGATCATATTACGGTCTGCTTATACAATTCTGTACTTCAATGACTACATAGAGCGTTTTATTCGCTTCGAGCAGAATCAAGTCACTACAAATTATTAAAGTAAAAAATAGCGTGTTGAATTTGACTAGGGGCCAATAGTTTCGCTGAAGTTGGAAGTGTAGGTTACCTTAAATTTTTTTATAGACAGATAGTTATTTTGTCGAAACTGATGGTGGATTTCAACGTGTGATTGTGGGTTGGCGGTTGGTGAGCCCGGACAGAAAGCCAACCAACAACCATGTATTCATCACAACAGATGAAACATGATTTTCCTTGGTTCTGAAGGTTTTTTACTTTGTGAAAAAATGTGCAATTGAACTCGACAACTAATGGATGCTCTTCGGTTAACTCTTCTGCAACCACAGCACCTAAACGATTGTGACCTTAATTCATGTCAGAGTGGAAAGCCACTCTCTCGTCAGGACCCAGAGATGCAACACTGCTAAGCTGTGATCTCAAAACATCAACTCCGTTCGCTTTCATTCTGGAGATTTGCACAGTACGCGTCAATCAGATTGGATCTTAACAGAATGTGGACGTAAGACGGTGGGTGGAGTGTCACAAGCGGTGCTAGAAGCTTCTTATTTCTAGTTTATGGAATGCTCTGGGGGGAAAGAAATAAAAATAAAAATAAAATCGTCCAGTTCTCTAAATCTAATTAAATTGATATAAAAACACATAAAAACATAATAATAATAATAATAATAATAATAGTAACTAATTCATGTCGTGCTTAGAGAAAAGAACTAGAGAAAATAATTCCTTTGGTAACGTTTTTCGACCCAGTGTTGCTGCAAACTAGAGTGATTGCTACTCACCTATTAAATGCATGCTGCTATTTCCATAGTAAAATAGTGATGATAATAACAAACTATGCTCAAACAAACTAGAAATGAGAATGATGACATGTGGTTTTTAGCCACATTTGCAGGAAGTACTGCCTGAAGATAGTTGATATGAAATCTGCATTACATGTCCCTCAGCTATTGTCACTTCAAGATGTGTAAACGTTCTAGAGTGGGCCCAAGATCTCCAACTAAAACATAAAAGACCAGGAATAAAACTTGACTCGTGCAATTCAAAACACCATCCGTTGAACGTGGCAGTACGGAACCCACCCAGGATCCTGAAAGAGCTCTCAATGGGAGATCTGACCTTGAAGAACGAAAACACAAAGTAAAATAGAATAAAATAATGAAGCAGTGGTTTCCAAATTTGTGAAGGTGAACAGATTTACCTCAAGCTTCACAGTTTTTAGACCTGCGCCTTCCCAACCAACTTCTAACTACACTTAAACCTAAAATATAAAATAATATAAAATAAAAAGATTTACAAACTAGCAACATAAAAAAAATTCAAAAAAAAAAAAAAAAAATCGCTTAGTTCAAATGCAGGTAGTAGTGGTCAATCACCATCAATAATTCAGATTCCTCCTGACAGAAAGATCACCGCTGATCTTAACTTCATGTGTCTGGGAGGAGCAGGCGGCAATCATCGGAAACACTTGCTGCTCACAGTTGTAGTGGAACCCAAGCATCCTTCACATGACATCCTGCCCACAAACCAACCTGCAACATCAACCAATCTGTCTTGAGCAATTTTGGTCTGAAGTACAAAATAATATAAAAAGGACTTATTTCTTTTTGTTGTAATAGAAACTTTTGGGAAGTGGATTGTGTTAGTTCATCACCAACAAAATTCTGCAAAATGCTCCGTCCCCAAGAACAATGTGTTCATTCCTTACACACAAAGCTTGCAAGATCAAATTCCAGATTGTACCAAGACTTATCTGGATATGTACGTCATGAGCCGAATGGGATTTAGGACGTAAAGTATACTAGAATGATTTGAAAGCAGCATCCCCATATAGTTTCAGAAAAAATTCAATTCAATTTAATTTCATCAGGAAATTACGTAAAGGTGCAAAAAAACACAAATGGCTTACCTGTCTTTCAACGTTGATGCTTCCGAGGGACCTCACCAGAACCTTTCGACTCAAAATGCAAAGCGTGACACAGAATCAAGCACTCTTTTACCGAGCCCCATGTGGGTATAATTCACAGAGTAGACACCGAAACAAAATGACAAATACCAAAACAGAAGTGCAAGTAATGTATTTAACAAGAAGATGAGTGCTGATATCGGCATAAAATAAATCATTGACTCAGCTGTTGGAAAAACCACAATCTACAATCGCAGTCTGATGCACACAAACTTATTCACAAATCCATCACAAATCAATTTTTCTCCACACTCTAAGAAAGACAAGACAAGACATGACGATGCACAAGAAGAAGAACCCTCTGCAGTGTTTCATCAGAATCACACTATTTTCCACTTCTCCCTCACACTCACATAAACCTCCAAAATATGACAACCGGATCAAAACCCTAATTGTATGATCGCGAGCATTTGAGGATGTAAAACCCACATTGCAAACGCTGTCTGATCTTTGCTTACGAACCATGTACATTTCTTTACAACTACAAGTAGACGTTCTGAAAAATTATATATATATATATATATATATATTCGAAGCTCTTCAATCACATCAGCACCGTTTTTGTGTTAAATTTTTTATTTTAATTTTATTTTTATATTGAGTGAAGATGACTGCCCTTGTGGTCATTTTTTTTGCAAAGGATTGGGTGAGCATGTTTGAAAGGGTCATTTGTTGCACACACTATTTTTGGTCTTTTCTAAAATAAAGTGGGTGTTTATTTGGCATTGAGGTGTTTTGCACACAAGTGTTGTTGTTTGCCATTCTTTATAAAGATTATGTTTTCATGATTGTTTTACATTGATAAACGTTGCTTCTTTGTGCACAAGTCTAATTATATATATATATATATATATATATATATATTTTCATCCAATCATTTTTACAGATATGATAATAAATGAATAAACCATCTAACATATTGACATTAACAAATAAATAAACCAACTAACAACTTTTCGAAATAATTGATTTTGCTTGCACTGGACTTTTAAATCTTGGCTACTAACACAATTTCTTAGTAATTTCAGAATACTAATAAATTTAGTAATATTGAAAAGAATAATAATATTTACATCTTATTCCGTGCTAATTAAGTCTAAACGTTTTTTTGAATGACCAAGAAACTTTATCAAAGTTAACAAGTTATTTGTAAAAATTCATGGAAAATGAACTAAAATGTGAGAAATTTATGAAATGCAATAATATTCAAAAAGCCAGTCAATTTTTTTATAAAGTCAAAAATTTATAATTGTTATATAGGCTTAAAATTAAAAAATTAAAAAACATTTACATGAATATATATATATATATATATATATATATATATATATATTAAAAAAATAAATCTTTTGTTTTTAAAATCATGTTGTAAATTTTATTTTTTTAGATTATATTTTTTTCATTTGTATCCTTAGTGTTTATATATATATATATATATATATATATATATAGAGAGAGAGAGAGAGAGAATTATTATTATTATTATTATTATTATTTTAAAACCATTTTATGAGACTTTAAAATATATATAATTGTTCATTGTATCAAATAAGATTCAAAATCACAAAAAAAGAAAAAAGAAAAAAGAAAATTATTTCCATAAAATTACATAATTTTTCTAAATTAACTATCTCAATAAAATACGGATGAGTTGAAATAAAATCATTTATGAGCTGCGTATAAAATCTTAGCTGCTTTTTAAAAGCCATGTTTATTAAACCAGTGGACCCAGCCTCATGATTCTTTTATGGAATAGTTAAATTAAGAAAAACAACAATAAAGCTTTATGCTTCAGTTAATGCTTGTAACCTTCACAGAGAAACTATCAATGATTCTTATATATTGTTTGTTAAGCATTAGAAAATGTGAATAGATATGTTTTGTACTCTGTTTCAAATACATTTTGTGATTGTTGTAAAAAATAAAAAAAAAAACAAAAAAAAACTATAAAAAAAATAAAATTTAAGAAATCTAATTCTATTTTTGTAATTTTTTTTAAGAATATTTTAAAATAAAACAAGTACCATAATATATTTGAGATATGTCAAACAATCCTAGACAATAAACTAGCATGTTCCAAATGCCACCACAATTGGCCATCTATTGTATGTCACCACATGCTACCATAGTTTTTGCTACTACAATGATAGTTTGCCATCCATTCAATAAAAAAGCCATTTTTTACTACAAAAAAATAATTTAAAGCTATTCAACTAAGATATATAAAACATATTTATTATTTTTAAACTATATTTAAAAAATACTTTAATATTTAAAATATATATATTATAGGATTTTAAAATATTAATTTATAATTAAATTTCTATAGATCTAAATTTACTTAAATTTTATTTATGATATAAAAACTATATTTAAAAAATAAAAAATCCACAATAAAAAATTTTATTATAGTTTTTCACCCTTTTTTAATGTCACTTTTTTTCTTTTGTTCATATGATATTTTAATAAATCAAATAATAAATAAATATATCTTTGAAAACATACCTATTAAAATTAATTAATCGTAAATTATATATATAAATATATATATTAAGAAACCTACTAATTTATTCTCTAATTTGATATAAAAATTAATTTATTAACATTTTTTAACAAAGACACTTAAGAAAAAACTAAATTAAAGCCATTAATACTTATTGCAACTAAAATAAATATTTAATTTATAAATAAAATATATTAAATTCTAAAAATATTAAAACTTAGAATATAAAAATAATTTTTATAAGAAAAAATTCATAATTTAAAAACAATAATTTGATAACTTCATATAATTATTTTGATAAAAATTAATTATATTAAAATATACTCAATGACAACAAAAAGAATATTTATGTATTAAGTTGCTCATACTAATTTAATTTTACTAAAATCTTAACTATAATTTTAAGGTTGTGTAATTAAGCTCTAATTTAAATATATTAAATTAGAGAATTTTATTTTAAAAAATTTAAAGTAAAGATTAAGCTAAAAAAACTAAAATGTTGGCTGCATTTTAATATTCTAAGATTAATTAATTCTTTTAAATGATATATTGAAAATTGATGTATCTCTTGCAGATTGAATTTCTACTAATTTAAAATTTCAATCAAAATAATGATATTTCTCCCATCTATAAACATAAATACAAAACCTTAATATTTTGTAGATAGATGCCACTTTGCAATATGAAGTTCAATTTTTTTTTCCATTCTTAAAAAACTTTTATGTATCAAATTTTAGCTATTTGTATTAGAAAAATTTAGATAAATAAGTTATTATAATTTATTATTAGATATATACTTATATATTATTAGAATTAATATAGAAACAATATAATATCAATTTTTTATTAAATTTAAGTTGAATTAAATCTAAATTAATTATTTTGTTTATTTAATTATCACCTTTTTAGAATAATTTTAAAATATATTATTTCTTATATCTAAATAGCAATTATATTTCTTTTTAATAATTAGAGCATAAAAATTTAGAGCATAAAGAATTGAAGCATATAATTCATAATTATTAAAATCTACATCTAAAAATATCTTTATTTATTTTTTAAAAATAAGAATAAATTGGAATATTCTTTATTTATATATATATATATATATATATATATATATATATATATATATATATATATATATATATATATATATATGTATATATATCTTTTTATTTATGTCACTCTTTCATTAACTTCTATAAAAAATAAAAATTCTGAATAACCTATAATTTACTTATTTTAATATATATATATATACATATATATATATATATATATATATATATATATATATTATAAAATAAACCTAAAGATTATATTTAAGTAATTTTTAAATAATATGAAATACTTTTTAAAAATAAATATATAATTTTAAGTATAAGTTATTCTATTTTTTTTTAAAAGACAACCTATAGATATTATTTTATAGCCATTTGTTGTATAATTCATATTTAGATTTTTTTTATAATTAACTTATAGAGAGATGTTATAGCAACCTTTCAATTTTGTAAAAGCCTCATCTACCCTTGCCACTTCATGATTCATTTTATACTCGTATCATGTCTCCAATTCCATTTCTAGCCCATGTTCCATGTTTCCAATACAATCCTACTCCATTCCTATCCCAACCTATGTTTCCACCTCCATAAACTTTTTCAAATTAATAAAATGATGATTGATTTGTACAATATATCAAAAATATTTTTAATACATATATCTCTTTAATCAAAATATAATTTTTTGAATTGGAATGGAAATTTTTTATATACAATATCAATTTATAAATAAATATAGATAATTTATTTTATCTTGATTTAAAATATATATATAATTTTATGATTTTTTATAAATATTTGAGTCAATAAAAAATAAAAATATAAATTATAATATTAAGTAAGTTACAAAAAATAATTTAAATTTTCATTTAAAATATTATTTCAAAATATAAATCAAATGGATTTTTTCATAAAGTTAAGTACGTACTTTTTTATATATAAAATTAATATTTTTGTCATCATTGCTAATTCTATTATATTATTATATTTTTATTACAACTATTTATAATGCACAATAATCTTATTGGTATATTATATAATTCAATTGTCATTTTATTTGTTCAAAACTTTTATGGAGATTGGTGTCATATGGAATGATTCATGATTTAGAAATATACTAGGTACTTAGCTATAGAGAATTTAGCTTTAATTTACTAGCCAAAATTCAATAAGTGATTTATTTTTAATATTGATAAAAAATAAATGCAACAATATTAAAGATATTTTACTAGTAAAAATATTTTATATTTAAGAAGGTTTGTACATAAGGCTTTCTAAAGCATTTGGAAATTTGTTATTATCCTTCAAATTTTTATCATAGCTCCATATCTCCATTTTTAACATATATACAAATTCTTGGCTTCCAAAAATCCCTTTCTTTTGCTTAAAATATTCAAATTATAGCCAAATCCTTTTAAAGCATTTTTTTTCTTACAAAGGTTTTTTTTTCTCCTTAAACTTTAGAATTTCATATCTCTTGATCCAACATTTTATTTTCTTCAAATTATCTTTTGGCAATAGCCATTTCATTTTTCTTTTTAGTATACTTGTTTTTCTATTTCTATTTCTTTGAGAGAGTCTCACTTGTTTATTTGTTGTCATCAAATTTTTCTCTTTGATAGATTGACAAGAGTGCACTTATAGTATTAGAGCTTTGTCTTCTCTTGATTAAGAATAGATTATTTCTTTTTCTTGATAAGACATAAGTGTATTAGAAGTCTAGATTATTATGTTCTAAATTAATATTATTTTTAGTATTTTTTTATTCTCAAGTCTTCTTTTTTGCTTGTCTTGAATAATATTAGATATTTTTTTACTTCTAAGTGTTATCATGGTAGAGCTTTTAGAAATGAAAAGTGCAATGGCACAAATATAAGAGCAATTGAGAGAGTTGATGCT